CACTGCGGCTCCGGTGTCAGAGCGCTCCCCGGTGCTCGCCCGGTGTCAAACTGGGAGCGCGGGTAAAAGCCCATCTCCTCGCTCGGCGCCAGGGGCCGGGCGCCTGGTGGGTACGCGCTGCCGGCGGCGGCTGCCCCTGCTTCTCCCTCTTTTTCTCCCTCTTTTCTGAGGAAGGGGGGGAGCCCAAGAGAGCACCCGCCTCGGTCCGATGCCCCGGGGCTCTCGCTGCCCGGAGGGAAGGTGCCTTCGTACAGCGTAGCTCGGGCTGGGCGAAGTGACCGGCGTTGGAGATGCGGCGTGTGGAGAAAAGCAGATGTGAACAGAAAATCAGGAAGTTGGTAGTCTCTTGGAAGGGCTTTCTGCAATAGGGCTGCTCTTCCAAAAAGTTAAAATTCTGTGAAGTTTTGAAGGACTTTCTTTATTTTGCCCGTGGTTCCATTAAAATACTGTGAAGCGTTGACTAGGGTGCAGTGCTGATGATACGTGCGTGATGCTGGGAAGCCCTGATCTTCAGCCCAGCCAGGCAAAAAGTTAAGGGCCAAACACTTGCTTGAAGCTTGCTTGCTTCTGCCTTTGCTCTGATGGGAAGAGAGTATTACCAAGGTGCTTGGAATACGTGATCTTTTTAGAGAGCTGAAAGAGAAAGAGGCAGCGGTGTGTTCAGCAAACTCCAATGGGAAAGCTTGTCCTATAGTGGCAACGGATAATGCTTTAGTCTTGCGTCTTTTGCCCTTAGAAAAAGAAAGTAAAATTACTGTATTATCCTGCACTTAAAGAATCTTGAGTGTGAACTGGGGCTTCAGTGTGCTGTGTACAAACAGCATTTGCACATGTAAAACAGCATTTCACAAGTGAGATAAGAAACTGTGTTAAGAGATCTCAGAAGAATGCTGTGGACTTAAGAGGGTGGGATAAGGGGTAGGAACTTGAGGGTAAATGCCTTTTATTTTGAATATTTTTTTCTTTTCCTGTTTTTGGAATGAACTTTTTCTTCTTCTAAACCACACCCAAATAATACTTCAGAGCTGAGGTTAGAGAGTAGGGTAATGTTAAGAGAAAATAAGTTAGTCATTGGGTGTGGGTTGGTGAAAGATGAGGCAAGTGCATCTAACTGCAGAATAATTCAAGAATATTTTATTACAGTCGAAGTCACCCAATGGCTTCAAGTATGTGACGTTTCACTTAGTTACAGTGTTAAGATGACAAAGCTGTCCTGATTTTTGACCCGAGGTTTATAGCACTTGGGATGCTGTCTGCCAGCCAGAATGTCTAATAGCTACAAAGTGTTTATACTGTCTATTTTCAGACAGGTGCTAAGTCAAGGGGTTTTCTTTTTAAATCTGAAATATCTTTATCTCTATATAGATATATAAACATCTTTAAAACAAATGTTGACTCAAGGCTGCACAGTTGATGCTTGAAAAAGTACCTATAATACAGAAATGGGTGCTGTAACATGATTTTGGAAATTCACTCAAAACTATGGTTGTGACTTGACTTAAAGTTAATTAAATGATTCATGGCCCTTTTTATAGAGGATTTGCCTTAATAGTAGTGTGTCAAATTGCATTTGAGTATTTTGTTCCTCAACTGAGCATAACATTTATCTCCTGTGTTATTGTAAGCAGTGACTGGAGATAGTATGAGCTCACATTCTGATTGCAGCTTCTTTTGTTGTATCTTTCATTTTAAGGGATTTAGCTTTTCACATCAGTTTAAGTGTGGGGAGCTCCTGGGATCTTTTTCAATGAAAGAGGTGCTGGACTTTTTTTGAAATTTGGAATTGAACTCAGTGAAATTGCTGTTCTTCCTCTCTCTTAAAAATGGAAAGATTTAAGTATCTGCATCTGACAGAGTTGAATGGTTTCAGATTACTGTCTGTTATTGAGCATCTGTATCAGTTTCTGCCCTTCAACTGTGTAGCAACTGAAGGCATTGCTTTTACAAAAGAAATGTTATTTCCTTTTCTACAAGTTGGCCAGAGTTTTCAAAATGGATCGCTATCTAACAGATCTGGAGTCCCCATGCCTACCTGCCTTGTTAAGATGATTTCCTCCCATGGTGGAGAGTGTAGTGTATCTGTCCTTAGAGCTGAAGGTGTTGAGATAAGCTTGACCAATTCGTTTGAGGCTTACCTGTAGAAAGTAACCAGACATATTCGCTTTAAACTCACCCTTCTAAGCACAGATTTTAGATGAAAGTTCCCCTTTTTTCCACTAGTAGGAAATGCTGGATTATAGTGTACGAGAAGGGTAGGAAGGAAAACATGCTCATGTTTTGTGCTTCCAGGAGGATAGCGCTTAGCCTCCTAATGTAATGCTCTTTAGAGTTTTCTAAACAAGAAATACAGACATCCTTAATACCGACGTTGGTGTTGGTCTTGAAGTTACATATGGTTCTATGTAAGTGGTCCTAACTTCTCGGTATACTTTTCAAACAAGTATCAAAAGAAGCATACCTTTAAAAATGGAAGTGATTTACACACACTAGGTACATGTGTGTAAAGAATAAGCAGAATATTTTTGGTTTCCTGGTTTGCTAGAAAGCAATGTGCATGTAGCTGATGTTTGGAAAGTAAGGCAATCACATAAAGTTTACTTATTTGAGTTGCATGTGGTAACCTTGAAATGGTGAAGCAAAAGAAATTAAAAGCAATATCAAATTAAAACAATGTCAGTTCTGCTTCTGGGACAGAAGCTGGATCAAAGGCTCCTAGAATAGTAATAAGAATATCTTCCTCCAGCTCCAAAGTTCACTTTCAAAAGCAGTAATAAATGGGTTAATAGAGTTAGCAAAAAATTATGTATCTGGAGCCTGGGGCTCTCTGATAAGCAAGATGCCGAAATGCTTCTTTTCTCTTACTTGAACTGTACAGACAAAAGTGTGCTTCAGATCAAAACTGTGGGTCACCAAGACAAGTTGGGGACGACATTTAATAGCATTATATTGTTAAGGATTAGCTGGTTAGTGTGAATTAGTTTGATAGCTTCCATCATTGTTTATCTATATTTAGAAATTGCTAATTGATTTCTATGTATTTATTTAAATAAAACTGCAAGACTGGTATAACTTTTTTTTCCTCCCTTGTTCCCAGAGTTGGTTCCTTCAATTATGAGTAACATGCTGAATCCGGATGCTATTTTTTCAAACAATGAAATGAGCCTGTCAGACATTGAAATTTATGGTTTTGATTATGACTACACATTGGTCTTTTATTCTAAACACCTGCACACGCTGATCTTCAATGCTGCTCGAGATCTGCTTATTAATGAGCATCGGGTAAGTAAAATTAATGGAATAACAAACTTATGAATAAAGAATATAATAAATAATTTCTGAGAGGGGCATAACTCATCTTTTCATGCCTCAGTCCTAGCTCATCTCCCTTATAACACGTTTTGCACAACAGCTACATAGGAACCACAGAAGTCTTAGTTTATTCTCAGCTGCAGTTTTGAGCAGAATGCAGTCTGACAAGTGTTAAGGAATAGAGTTTTATTTGTTAATTTAGTGGTGGTGTGGTTTTTTGTTTTTTCCTGATTGTCAGTTATTGGAGTCACCCTAATAAATGAGAAGCTTAAAAGTTACTCTGTTCTATGTGTTGCTGTGAGTACAGTGATTAACTTCCATACAAAATATTTTTAATATGGCTTCTTAGGAGGTATTTGACTGCACTATGTGCTTCTGTGGTGCTCTCTATGTACCTGATGTTTCAGCTGAGGTAGCCAAAGGGGCAGCATATGTGGTGACGCTGTAATTAGAGGCTGGGTACAAGAGAGACCCAAATAAGTGTTCAGCTCAGTAGTCCCCTAAGAGGGAGCTCTGCCCCATTGCCTCACCAAGCAGCATGTTTGCATCGGTGACCAGTTGACATCTAAGCAGTTTGGAGCTGGTTGTTGCGTAGTTTGGGGATGGGAGAAGTTACTGTGTCAGGAAGTGGGGGGGGGAGATGGGTGGCTTGGGAAACTGAAGGTATTGCAGGCAGAAAGATGGCAGAAAATGTGGACTGAAAGCCAGAGTTTATTGAACTGTAGGACTTGCAGGAAAATGAAAGACGAGTCCACAGAGTAACTTGATTAATGAAACTGCTTGTGTATTTTATACAACCTAAATCTGAATGGGTGGCGTTATTCTACTTTCGTATTTGAATCTAAAGGTTAGGAGCTATATATAAACATCTATAAATATCCCTGGAAGAACAAACAAAACTTCATGGGCGCTACAAGCATACACAAGTTGATCCCCCTAAGATTTCGCATGCCTTAATAGCAATTTCTGTGGAATGTCTAAATATACTTTTTTAAAGCTATGTGGTTCTTGCAAAAAACAATGTTATTGTAGGAGTCAAGATAGTTCTTGTAGACAAAAATTCAAATGGTGCTGTTTTTTACTATTTGAATGAATTCAGGTAGTAATCACTTTCTGATTTGTCTCAATTAAAATATCTTGAGTTCCAGTAAATAAAGCTGTCATTACTTTTTGAGACAACTTACTGAAATATATCATCTCCTGTTGGAATTTATTGAGGGACAACAGTTTTATTAATGCTGTCTGTGTAGCTGCTTATACTGCTAATGTTTTCTTGCCTCTAACATTAGAAAATGCTTCTTGATAGTATTGTCCATTATGACCGTCACAGTCAACCTAAAAGATGACCAGTTTTGGTCATGGCAGTGTAAGGTAATTCATCAGAAACTGCAAAATGCGGTGTAGGAAGCAAGGAATTTTGAAGTATGTCCAAGAGAATAAACATCAATTTAATGCTCATCTTGGAGGTGGCAGCAGGTGTTGCATGTAAACTCTTGCTCTGGGGTTTATTTCTTTCTCAGTGTATGGCCCTGTGCCACCTTACCTGGGCTGCTATTTCAGTCCAGATACATGTATCTGCTGTGGTTTAACCCAGCAGGCAGCTGAGTACCACACAGCCATTTGCTTACTCCCCAACAGTGGGATGGGGGAGAGTGTTGGGGAAAAAAGATAAAACTCGTGGGTCAAGATAAAGACAGTTAATTATATATAATAAATATATAATAATAAGACAGAAGAGGACGGGAAGATAATAACGATGATAAGGGAATAGATAAAACAAGTGACACACAATGCAATTGCTTACCACCTGCTGATGGATGCCCAGCCAGTCCCTGAGCAGTGGGCTGCCACCCCCCAGCCAATTCCCCCCAGTTTTATTGTTCAGCATGATGTCATATGGTATGGGATATCTCTTTGGCCAGTTGGGGTCAGCTCTTCTGGCTGTATCCCCTCCCAGCTTCTTGTGCACCCTCGGCCTCCTTGCTGGCAGACCAGTTTGAGAAGCTGGAAAGTCCTTGATTTAGTGTAAGCACTCCTCAGCAACTAAAACATCAGCGTGTTAGCAACGTTATTCTCATCCTAAATCCAAAACACAGCACTATACCAGCTACTAGCCAAAACCAGGACAGTATCCTACCAAGAGTGGGGTAAGCAATCCGTGCAATTTTTATAATTTATTTTTTTTATTTGGCTTGTAAAGAAGCTTTGATTTGTGTGCCAAGGTAGGCTCAATCTTTTTCACATAAATACTGGCATATATGTATGCAAAAACACAGCCTTCTAGTAGAATAAATTAAAGCAGGAAGGTAAAGTATGCAGAAATTTGTAAAAGTCAGAATGCTTTGGGGCATGTGGAGTACATGGTAGTTTTTAATTGATCACATTCTATATCTCCCCTGATGTTTTCCTTTGTTTCTTCTACTTTGTGTTCCTTGGCCAAATCCACACATATTCCCATCCTGTCTGTAGGCTTTTGATGCTGTTCTTCATTCAGATCAGTAGCCTCCCCCATGTTTTCTGAAAGTGGTAGTAGGGATGATAGTTCAGAAGTTAGGAGAAAGGACTTATTTCTTTAACTGTAGATGTCTATGCTCAGTGCAAGCACGATCTACAGCAGTTGCAGAGCAAGTCTTTTTTAACATGGATAAAAACTGTAGCTTTTTTTTTTTTTTGGTAGAAGTAGCTAGAGCCTTTGATGAAGGTGTATAATCTACTTTTTTTTTTTTTCCCTGAAGGCTTGTAAATTAGCCACATATGTATGGAGACTGTTGTAGAGAAGGTGGAGAATGTGCCTGAGATGCATTTGTTAAGTTCTAAGACTTGTAGCCCGTGGGAGAGAAATGAAGGATTGCCTTTCAGGTGGTTAATCAAAGAAATGATAATTTTCTCAGGTCTTGTAAAAAATGACTGAAGCATTTTACTTTCTAAAAACAAATGACCAAAACATTAGCCCAATGCACACACCAAATGTATTTTTTTTTCTGTGGCTGTCACATTTTGAATCTGAATTACTTGTGTCTCTTGTTTGAGTGGGATGTGACACTAACCTATGCTTAAAGCAGGACAAAATTACAATCGACTGAAAATGGGCCTGTACTGGAAAATGTTAGAAAACTCTCTAATAGGTAGTGTGAGCTACCTATGTTGTCTATGAAGAACCTGAGGAAAGAGGACGCGATAGAGACGTTCAGTTCTCGTGCATCTCTAAACGATGGTGTTGCAAATGCTGTCCCAGGTAAATGTAGTTGGGTCACTGTGTGTGACTTACCCCGATGGCATTTAATGCTGGGCTTGCTTTCAGGATCTGATCTTTGTGACATACTGTACCTTGGGGAAGATCGTTGTTAGGGGGGCCTGGTTTCTCCAGGTAGCATTAGCTGTTGTGAATTCTCTTCTTCCTGCTTCCCCATCTGAGTTTATATGTGGTGCACCATATCTTTAAACACCCCTGGGGTCTACATTTCAAGCTCTGCGATCTAGGATCAGGAGTATGATCTGCACTGAGGGAGTCAAAACAGATAGCTATGCTGCTTTTATTTCTTGAAAAGGCCAAAGATTTTTTTTTTTGCTCCTGTTAATATTGATGGTGCTTCATTGCTTTTACTTTCAGTAGAAGTATGCGATAAAGTTCAGGTATCTCTGTAAATTAGGGCATGTTCTTGGATTTCTAGCTAGAAGGTTGAGTTGGGAACTGTGTTTTTATAGTCTCATGGGGAGACTTTGCAATGTGAGGTAATACAGCTATTAAATTTTAGGAAGATAGTAAAATTTAGTTTGTTTTCAAAGGTGCGTATGTTAAAAAAACTTCTTGAACAAAAGGCTAATGTTCAAAGGGATCACTATAGAGTATCTGGATGTCCAAGTTTAGGTACCATGCTTGACTTAGATTTAAAATAGTGACCTTGGATTTTGGAAAAATGTTTGACTTTTCTTGCACTGTACCCATGTTCCTGCAAATCTCACCAACCTATCAAAAAGCCTCTTCATGACTAGTAAAAATGAAAAACAGAGAAAACGTAGGCTTTTAAAATTTGTCAGAAACAATTTTTTAATTGCTTTTGTTATGGGTTTAAAATCAGACCATTGGTCTTTCTTTTTTTTTTTTTTTTTAAGTATCCTGCAGAAATAAGAAAATATGATTACGATCCAAATTTTGCAATCAGAGGACTACACTATGATGTGCACCGGGTATGTATAAATAACTTTGTGATGAGTTGTGTAGTGTTGAGAACCTAGCCAAAAAAAATAAGCAGGCCTTTTAAGTCTTCCAACTTTTCATGTGTGTTGATGTGTAAGGATTTTGTTTCGTATTTTCCTCTTTTGTAGCAAGCTTGACTTTTTTTTAGTAGCTCTTAAGGTTAAAATGTTTTGGGTGTTTTGGTCTCATAGTGGGTGGGGGAGGACAGCTTAGAGTGCAACAGAGTAAACCTAAGCAGGCATCTACTACTAGGAAAAGTTACTTCTTTGTGACTTAGCTCAGGTCACTGGACAGTGTTTCCTTGGTGATTTGTCAAGCCCTAGGTAAGAACCATTGATAAAAGTGTTTTGGAAGCTGTGAAGGAAGTTGAAATCAAGGTGCTCAGGCATTCTTGAGACAGAGAGGTTATAGATAAAATTGCTTTGATTTTTATAATTTCATGTCAGATAGTTGATGTGATAAAAACGTTTTGTTTTGTGTGTGTGTTGTTTTTTTTTCCTGCAAGGCATTATTAATGAAGATTGATGCTTTTCATTATATTCAGCTGGGAACAGTTTACAGGTGAGTAAACTTATTTCCTATTTATAATAAAAATGTATACTCTTATTTTTTGAATCTTAGTTGCATTTATTATATCTTAGGTCCGTATCAGGAACAATGCTCTGACAAGCACAGACATGAATGAATGTTGCAGTCTTACCGAAAAGGGGTTTCTTTGCACCTCTGTGTCTACACAGACATGCACACACGTTTATTGACTGATACAGTACAGATGATTCCCCAGTTCAGAGCTGGGGAAGTTGGCAAGCTGGTTGGTCACATAGTGCTGACTCACTTTGTTTCCGGCTGTTAAATTGTGCTGAAAGACATCTAAAAATACGCTGATGACTTCTCTGCTGTTGCTTTCTATGTAAATAATTGTCACAGAGTGCCTGTTAGTATGACTTTGGTATGATTGTAGAGACACTTGAGAGGTCTTGCTGTGTTTGTACAGAGCTTTTAAGTGTGGACACATCAACCATGTCATACTTGCAGAATGGGGCACAACTGCTTTGTGTCTGCACACATCCTGACACTTTTTGATTTTACAGAATTGATGTAAAATTGGCAATCTCTGTGCTGTGCTTTGTTACATCATACGGACATAGTGTATGGGATCTTTGACAGGAGGGTTTTTAGTATCTCTCAGTTTGCTATAATGAAGCAGTACACGTTTGGCTGACATGAACATTACACTTGTGCCTGAGCACCTTTAAGGTCATTGGACAAAAAGTTTTCTTTTGTGGCCAAAAGATAATGCAACCTTGAAGTGATTTGCTGTAGGGACTGTATATGGTAGTATGAAATGCTCATTACTTCTTTTTGTTTGCCAGTCAGGCAGATGGGTAGATGTTTCAGCTGTACTCGTTGGTCTGTTCTTTTATGAGTTAGTCTGAAATGCCCTTTGGGAGAGGGGAGAGGAAGGGAAGGAAAATGAAAGAGGAAGCAAGATGGGATGGTCCAGTATTAGGCTCATACTGTCAACATAGTAGCTATCTAAAGCTGCCAAAACAATGTGTTCTATATGTGTCATCAGAGCCTGAGTGAAACTTTATACCATTTATCTGTGGTTTATGCTGATGTAGAATAACTGTTGTATGTTTCAGCTGAGAAAATCTGTTCCTTTGGTTTTTGAAGGAATTGTTTATGCAGGGTTAGGAGGGAACCAGTGTGAAGGTCACTGATTGTAAGATTGATTTTAAGAGGCTGTCCTATTTTTACATTTTTCACTGTGAAAAATGTTAGTTTACTAGATTAAAGGACAGGTGAAGTAATCAAAGCTACATTTGTTTGTAGAGGTATGTAGTAGAAATAATAAGATTGGTATGAATGGAAATGTGTATGTATGGGAGCACCAGAAGAAATGTTGATAGAAGGGACGAAAGGATGGCATGTGTTGTTGGTGTCTGGATCAGTTGGTCATTAGGATATTATCACATCTGCATGCTGTTTCTCCAAACACCTGTATGGGGATGGGGGATCAAAAAATTAGGCTGAAGGCTTTGAGAGATGATGTCAGGAAGACCAGTGGTATGACTGGAAATGTATAGTGATCTAGATGAGAAGATGAATGGGTGGTGAGTCCATTAGCAGTGTTGCCTTGTGACTCAGAGTGGGGCAGAATAGAGGCAGGATATCACAGTTGCTGTCAACTCCTAGTACAAAACGCACATCCAAAGCCAGAGCATGATGGCTGGTTAAGAAAACTCGAGAGGTGTTGAGATTTGTTGACAAGCTCGTGTCCCTTGTTCTCTGTGTCACCCAAAGTAATTCTGGGCAGATTGCTAAGCCACACATCACTTCAAGAGTGAAAGCTACCATTTCACTCAATACTTTCTCTTAATTTTGTTTAAATAAGTTTATCTTTCTCTTCTATACCAACACTGAGCTTTGATGTCAGTTGCTGCATATCTGTAGTTCTTTGTTTCAGCCTTCCAGGTGTTCTGTACATGTGTAGGTCAGTCACACAGCTGAAGGTAGCAGGGCTTGCCCAAGCCTACAGCCTCATTTGCACTCAGAGGTGTAAGGAGTTCTGGTATCCCCCTAACAGCGCCTATCTCCAGGAGCAGCAGTGGGAGTGCTGCTGTAGGTGAACTGTGATGCTTTTAGTGTTGTCTGTCCATGCTGTCGGTGGAATAAAATAAACTTTGTAGTTACAGAGCTGGACTGTGAACTGTGTCAAGAGTATTAGTCTTCTGGTAAAACTAATCTACAGCCCTGCCTACACAGTTGTCCCTCCTCTCTGGATTTTGCTTATGTCTATTGTCCTGTCTTGATTTGTGTTGAAGTAGCTCCTAGTCCACAAGTGTTTTCTTTAGCTGTATTCAAATACCACTTGGCATAGCTGTCTGCAGACTAGCTGAGTCAGTCCTCAATTCTGATTGTATTGCTTGGTGTTATGTTTAATGTTTTGGTTGCATATCTTTGTGTTTACTGCTGTGGAATGGGCGATGCTGAACTCATTATGTTACAAACCCAAAGTAGTATCTGCTTTGTTTGCGCACAATACAAATTGAGTGCTGGAGCCCTACCACAATGTTTGCGTGCCTGCAGTGTTTTAGATGTTTTAATGTAAGATGCTTGATACTGTAAACTTTCAAAACCAAACCAAAACAAAGCCTGTAATCTCTTAGTAGTTGGTAAAGAAGCTCTGGGGAAAGACAATGTCTCCTCCTTGCCCACTTGTTGTTATATTTTTATATTTTAATTACTTGTCAACAATCCTTCAAATAATCTGAAATTTTGGGAAACTGAACTGTTGATACAGTTTAAAAGAAATTCTTATTTAGTTAAAGGTTGTATTTTTCTTTCCCTTGAATCTTCAAGGTTAAGCTGCAGAAAATAATCTAGTTTGAACACTATCACATCATCAGTGCTATATAAAACAAAGACAGAGTGAGGAATTACTTTATGTTAAGAAACTGGAAGCTGTAACTACTTCTTACAAACCCTTGAGGCACAATTTCAGTGGAGACTAATTAGTTCTTTTCCCATAAGAAAGTAAAAAGGACTTAAAATTGGAATGAGTTCCGTGTGCGTCAGCCTGTTAAAATGTTACTTGTTCTGTAAGGAAGGATGCTCTTTTAACTTGCAGACTAAAGTGCTCCTATGACATTATGAGTGCTTTAATAAAATTCAAATCTAAATGTTAATCTGTCAGACTTTCATTTGCTAATTACTCAAAAATTTTAATCTGACTTTTGAACTAAACCTAACATTTTCCAGAGGCCTCAGTGTTGTCCCAGATGAAGAAGTCATTGCAATGTATGATGGTTCCCATGTCCCTTTAGAACAAATGAGTGACTTTTATGGAAAGGTAAAACCACAAACTGCTCTTTAAAAAGAGATTTTTTGGGGGCGGTGGGAGGTAGTGGTGTTTTCATTTTGTTCTTGTTCTTACTAGCAGTTTTATTTTCGCAATATATGACTGACTTAACAGTGCTAGATGTGAAGTTTATCATCTAAAGTGACAAATATTTTCTTTCTCGTACTCGCTGTAGTTTCTTCTTTTCACTGTTCCCTTGCCCAGTCATACAGAGGAGTGGAACATAGAAAAATCAAGTGACTTGCTCAGTGTTGCACAGCAAATCTGATAAATGTTGTGAAATGAACCATATCTGGTGCCTTACCCCAGTTATGTACTTCTTCCTGGTGGTCTAATGACTTAGCTGAGGTAGCAGCAAGTAAATGTACAGAAGCATACAAGCTGGCAGAGTGGCAGTAAGAGGATTTGATAAAACATGAGTGATAAAAAATATTTTAAGTTTGCGATTTGACTTTGTGGGGCAAGTTGATCTTTTTGCTGGTAGGTTCCCTCCTCTTTCTCAAATGAAGAATGGTGCTGTCTTTTTAGTCAAAACCATTTTTTTTACTCCTTTTACTTGTGGATGTTAATTCCATGTTGACATGAAAGGCCCTTCTTTGTGCTGTGGAGCATTTTGTTGTTCTCACACTTCTTATTTTAAGAAGTTGAGCTTAGAATTCCTAAATCTGGTCTCTGCAGCAGTTCTGAATATTGCCGTGGATTCCCTGTGGGATGCCTTCATCTCTGCATGCAGGTCTGTGCTTTCTCTGATCTTGGAAAGGGCAGTGACAGGACAAGAGACCATGGATGCAAACTGAAACACAGGAGGTTTCCTCTGAACATCAAGAAACGTTTCCTTTACTGTGAGGGTGACCAAGCACTGGCATGGGTTGGCTGCCCAGGGAGGTTGTGGAATCTCCATACTTGGGAGATTCAGTAGCCATCTGGACAAGGTCCTCTGCAACTGGCTCTAGGTGGCCACTTGAGCAGGGGGTTGGACAAGGTGGCCTCCAAAGGTCCTTTGCAAGCTCAACCATTCTGTGTTTCTATGATTTTGACCAGTGTTTCTGTCTTGAGGTGGTTGCTTTACCTCTCCTCTTCTTGAGAAGTATTTAGTTTGTATTTGCTCAGGTATGAGATTCTCTACTTCCGTGAAACTTAACTATAATTACAGCTTTTGCAGACTAGAAATCTTTTCCTCTGTTACTGCATTAGTTAATGTAGATTCTTACACCTTTTTTCTCTTTTCAAGGAGGTAAATTGTTTTGCAGTCCTAATCAGTATTCCACTTATGAAAAAAAAAGCCTAAACCAAGTAAAAAACCTCACCCCCCCATCACCATATCCAGTGCCTCTGATTTATAGAAGTGCAGTATGCCAGTGAAGGCTTCTAAGTCCTTCTCTTTACTTTTAGCTGAGCACTGTCTTTTATGTGTTTATGAATTAAAATACCCCTCTTGAGTAATGTGTAATGATTAATTCTTAAAATAAAGCCAACACTTTTGTTGGAGTTATTTAATTGTAAGTGTTTTAGGTTCTTTTAGAACTAACAGAATGTGAACAGTGATGGCAAAAGCTGAATATCTGCAACTAAGCTGAAGTGTTTATACTGGATGAATTAAAGTGTTCTAATCTGAGAAATGCCTGATGGCTTTTAATTCTTTTTCCTTCCCACTCCTATAGAGCTCACATGGAAATACAATGAAGCAATTCATGGATATATTTTCCTTGCCGGAAATGACACTCCTTTCTTGTGTGAATGAATATTTCTTGAAAAACAACATAGACTATGAGCCTGTTCATCTGTACAAAGATGTCAAGGTACTAACTTTGAAGATTTAGGTAAACCTACATTTGTGCATCTTCTCTCTGAGCACTTAAGGAAGCTTCAACCTGTTGTCAGCTCCAGTGAAATACCTCACCTTTAGGCTTTGTATAGAGTAATTCTTGCTATACAACCATAAAAACATAAGTGAAATGAAGGTAGGTTTCCTTGGAAAGGAAACAGAATAATTTGAAATTTGTTTTAAATGTGATGTTCTAGGGCTGTTGCTCTTTCTGTAGGTTTGAGCGGTGGTGGGGGAAAATAAAGGAGGTCTTGTATGTTAATAAAGTTTCTTTTGATTGTTACTACATGTATACATTTCTCACTAGCAGGAATTGTATGAGGCTATAGGGAATTCCATTTTGGAGCTTTCAGTTCTACTGCCTCTGTATCTTTGCTAGTATACAATCATTTGGTTTTGGTATATCTGTTTTGCTTGTTTTCTTTTCCTCCTCCTCTAAAAAAATCTGGTGGTAATGACTAGAGTAATTTGACCCTCTTGATTCCTCAGGTTATATTCTGAAGAGGAGATAATTTCATGTCATGGTGGTTTAGGAACAGATGAGGTCATGTCAAAGTTGATGGCATTTGTCTGCACAGGCTTTCCAGCCAAAACCTTTTCCTGTCCCCTTGTTGACATATGTATTAAGGTTGTGTAGTTGTTCAGTATGTGTGGTGCACCTGAATGTTAAATTTATCACTTTCCCAAGTAGATCAGATGGGTTTAGTAAACTTTTGACCTGCAGAGTAACTTTCTAGGCTAGTTCTGTGGTTTCTGCTGAATCGTTCGTAGAAACTTCTGTATTGCTTAGAATTACCAACATTTTGGAACCCCTATAGTGTAATTTTTTGAGGATTTTTAAGACATACTCCATATAAGTATCAAAATGGCAGTACCACTGTCCTAAACAAAGCTCTTTGGTGCAGAGATGGCTCAGGAGAGCTGCCAGATGCCTTCAGAACACCTTATGAGTACTCTGAACAGATGAAAGCAGCTAAATGCTTAAGCATAAATTTCTTTTAAATAACCAGGGCATTTGTGAATGATCATAATATAAAATCTATCTGACTTAAAACTTTTGGGTTTTTTGGGTGGTGATTGAGGTTTTTTTGGTGAGTTTGGTGGTTGGTGGTTTTTTTTTTTTGTTTGTTTGTTTTTTGTTGGTTTTTTTTTTGAGAGGAAAGGAATGTGTTAGACTAGATATTAGGAAGTATTTCTTTACAGAACGGGTTGCCCAGGGAGATGGTGGAGTCCCCATCCCTGGAGGTGTTGAAGATTAGGGTCGATTTAGAGCTGTAGGTGGGAACTGTGCTAGGCGAATGGTTGGACTAGATGATCTCCAGGGTCCTTTCCAACCTAGATGATTCTGTGTGTGTTCTGCTCCAGAGGTCATCTGAAATATGTGATAACTCTGCTTCTGCAGAGGGCTTTCACCCCACTTCACCCTTTTGAGTACCCTTTCACAGTTGTTATGTAAAACAGCCCCTGTGTTATATCATTTTGTACTTCTCAAAAGTATGAATTTAGTTTCTTGGTTTACTCTTTGTCTAGTGATGACATACATATAAAATGAACATCACATGGCATTTCTGTAAGTTTAAAGTAATTCAGAGAAAGGAATTCTTTTAAAACCAAGTTACCACTGCTATGCAGTGAGCATGGTTTTTGTACTTGAAAAGATTTTTCAGTTCTTTAGTGCTCTGTTGCTTTCCTGGCAGGATTCAATCAGGGATGTCCACATCAAAGGAATAATGTACAGAGCAATTGAAGCAGATATTGGTAAGTTCTAATGAGATCATCTATCAAAGCTTTTTCACTGATCGTATAATGATCTTTCTGGCTATCTCATTTAAGACTACAAATTCTAAATTTTAAAGCTTGAGAGTTATTTCCATTTGTCTAAGGGGCCTTTGTTAAGTATGACCTCATGTTCTGAATTCTTGGTTGAATCCGGAGAAAATTCCCCTGGAAAACTTTTTCAATTGATACTGTATTTTCCTCAATCCTCACAGAGAAATACATCTGCTATGCTGAGCAAACTCGTGCAGTGTTAGCAAAGCTGGCTGATCATGGCAAGAAGATGTTTCTCATCACAAACAGTCCCAGCAGCTTTGTGTAAGTGACAGTTGCTTGCTGTTCTACTATAAATTTCTAAAGGATGGGGAGGATGAGGTTCTCAGATATGTCATTATATTGCAAAGGTAGCTGCACTTCTGTTATGTTTCACTGTTAATATCCCTCTGTCCTTTTTAGAGACAAAGGCATGAAGTTCATAGTTGGCAAGGACTGGAGGGATCTCTTTGATGTGGTCATTGTACAGGCTGATAAGCCAAACTTCTTCAATGATAAGCGAAGGTGGGTATTTAGTCAGTAAAGTATGGTTCAGGCAGTTTATTCCATAGAAGGAGAGCATGTTATGAAATATTTTAATTTGGATGCAATGTAAAATGAAATAATATTTGAAATCTTGTTTAAGGTCATTATAGAATGCAGCAACACCCAATTTTAAAGTCCAAATATTTACCATTTCTTACCTAAGAAAGTTTCTGTAGCTATTACAAGTCTGCTGGACTGAGTTAGGGTCACAGAAGCTGTCTTTATCATCTTACCTTGTACGTTGGTGAAGTGTGTTCCTTTCCTAATAAAGCTGAGAAATTTTGGTGCCTTTCAGAATCAGCCCCTTATCTGGAAATGTCCTTCATTGCTTGTGGGTTTTTTTAGTCACACGTTTAAAGGGCAGACTGGAGTATTTGGACTAGTTGTGCAGTTAAATAAACATTCGTGATGCGTATGCACTGCTCTTACACTTGAAAAAGACCTATTCCTTTATGTGTACTTTATGTGTACTTATGATTTGAAAGTGAGATAGAGGGAGGTGGGACTTTTTTTCCCCCCCTCTTTTTTCTAAATTCAGTTTTAAAAATAACTTTGCTGTATGTCTTGCCCCCAGTCCCCTGCCTCTTTCTTATTTGGTTGTACAAAATGTTTTTTTTTTTTTTTTTTTTGTGTTCTCTCCTTAATGGCAGACAATTCACATAGTTTCTTCCTCTCTAAAGCATCCCTGCTTTAGTTCTCAACAGTTGTTCTTAAACTCTTTTATAAACATCATAAGTAGACTGGATAGATATATTGCATTTCACTGGCTAAAGAGGAACTTTTGGAACCGTCAGATGCTAGAGAGCACATTTTTGTTTTAAAAGACAAGTATTTTTAATATTAAGATTTTAATTCCTAAAAAGTGACAGAATTACTACAGCAATATAACAATTGTATATAATTCTGTTCTAGGCCATTTCGGAAGGTGAATGAAAGGGGAGTGTTGCTTTGGGACAAAATTCACAAACTGCAGAAAGGTCAGATTTACAAACAGGTATGCTTTCAAATTTAATACCTATTTCCTGGAATCCCAAACTTCTTTATATATCATAAAGGCTTCTAAAAAGTAGATATGATAGAAGTGGTACAAATTCATTATTGGTAATGTATGTCTGCAATTTTACTTGCCTCGTGAAGTGATAGCATTACTGAAATTGCCTGTAAAATTTGGGATTCACAATATATAAACTGAGGACAAGATTCTTGATATGAATATATTTTTAGGTGTGTACTAAATTCCTTTTTCCTGCCTGTGAAGGTGCAAATTGCATACTGCTACAATGTGTGTATCACTGTTTCTGCAGGGTAACTTGTACGAATTTCTGAAGCTTACTGGCTGGAGAGGCTCTAAGGTTCTCTACTTTGGTGATCACATTTACAGTGACTTGGCAGTAAGTAGTTTACTTTCACAAAATAGGATAAAAGATGAGGGTTTCTGTTAGTTTTCCTCTCTTCCTTCCCAGTTATTTGATATAACACACTTTCATTTGAGACTTCTAAATACAATACAGTTTGAGTTGGTAGTTAAGCCGTATTGCTTTTCTTACGAGAAATTTGGTGCTGTAAAAGGCTGACCATATTTTCCACATGACTTGTAGCTCAGGAATGTGAGTTTGTATTCCTGATCAGATACTGATTGTGTCAGATGTAACAGAGAGTAAACAGAGATACCCAAACATACAGGATGTGGCCGATCTGGATGACATTTACTACCAAGTGTAGTAAGAGCTGAATGAACTTCTGTTTTGAATGCAGGAGGCAATCTGCCTGTCACTAATGGTAAACTTTCTTCCTGAGATCTCGCTATGGTTTGTAGCCCCACTATCCAGGCATTTTCTTACTGCCTTACAAACAAATGTACTGTTAACTGTTACTTTAGAGTAAGACCGCCACTTAACTCGTTTGCAATTGGTTGCATATGAATGCCTGGATATGACTTTTCACTGGCAAGCTGAGGTAACATGTTGCAGCAGCAGATGTTAACATTTTTGCCCCTATCTGCTTTTAAAAAGAAAAGTAAGTTTGGGGGCTTCAAAAGGCTGAGGGCCAAAGGAAGTAGGACGCATCTCTGTTCTTTGGCGCAGTGGAAGGGAGAGCACAGGTGGCAGCTGCCTTGTCCTGCACTTGTCAGCAGGAGTTTGAATGGATACCTGGCGAGTCCCAGTAGGACCCTTCTCTCAGAGTATGTGGGTAAATACCACAAATGCAAAACACAGTTTCCTCCAGATACTTCTGACAGCAGCAGAAGCCTCATCTACAAGAGGAATTTCCTGTTTGCTTTAAACCTGATGAATTGGTGCTTACTTGCAAGTGCTTATGTGTTGTTTATCACTCTGTCTTTAAAAATGTGGGATTTGAAGCTTACTCTGAAATGAAATTCTCTTGGCACAGTTAAGTCCCGCTTTAATATTTCTGCTTATACATAAGAAGCAATTAAATTAGTGCCCCTTTGGGATAAACAATGGTCAAATTATTCAGTTCTTTTAAGTAGTTCTTTTTAAGACTAATACTTGTATTTTGTAATTCTTGATAAATAGGATTTGACCCTGAAGCATGGCTGGCGCACTGGTGCAATTATTCCAGAGTTAAGATCAGAGATTAAAATCATGAACACAGAGAAGTACATTCAAACCATGACCTGGCTGCAAACCTTGACTGGATTACTGGAACACATGCAGGTTTGTTCTGTGTGTGTGTGTGTGTGTGTGTAATTGGCTCTGCATAGCAGAAGGGATCCAGACAAATTTCTGAATGCTGGACATTGATGTTGCAAGTGCTTTCTGTCTCATTAAAGTTCACCAGTTTGACTGTAAATCAGTAAACGCAGTTAGTTGTGCGGCTAGTTAGTATGAGTTTTCTCAAAATCTTGTCCCCTTCCTCCACTGGTCAGCCTGACTGGATTTCTGCTTTTGGTTGTTTAAAATGCATGTGGATACTGTGTACTGCTCTCTGAAGCATTGCTCTTGTCGTGTTAGCTCAAAAGGGTTTATTAATGGAAAGACTCATTTATGAGGGCATCCTTAGTTACCTGTTACCCATACTTTACATTCCAGGTTCACCGTGATCCTGATTCACAAATGATTTTAGAAGAATGGAAGAAGGAAAGAAAGGAAATGAGGTAAAACACAGCAGATAAAGAATTTATAATATGCTTCGTTAGAGCTAAGCGTTCTATGGGATGTCTTCTACAGGTCTCTTCAGAATTTCCATCCCTGATGTATATTTCCTGGTAGTTACAGACCTTCTAAAACTGTCTGTGTAAAGCAATATTCTACCTGTCTCTTGTACAGCTCCTCTCCCTTCTGTTCCCTGTTCTCCTTCTTTGGGATAGATGTTAGTTTTCTGCTGACTTTTTCTTCTCGTCTCAGTTCTCCAGTCCCTCTATGTTCAGCTGTCACTGTTGCTATTGATTACACAGCTTTACTTCTGTATGATCTAAAAGTGTGTTTCTCTATAAAGACTTAGGTCACTTCAGGTTTTTTAGATAATTTCTTCAGGTTACATAAAATACCTTCTAGAATATGCAGAAACTAGGGTCTGTGTGAGACTGAATTTATCAGTGGACTCATCACTGGTAATAGGGCTAAAACCCCTAAAAAAATCTACTATCATGAAGGAGCAATTCCTAAATGTGGGGTGTGTGAATTGCGCATTTGGCAAGGCCAGCAGCTCTATCACCAGCAGCCTTCCCAGCAACATGGAAGTAAATGAAATGGGAATGATACTTGGCAGTGACTAATAACAGAAGTTAATTCCAAAATGTGTTCAAGTTTCTTGTGTACATTAAGCCAAATATTAGTGGTATTTCAAAAAAGTCTTTTATCTTTGGGATAAGTGGATGTCATTAGGATTTAGATGAAGGCAAAAGTCATCTTTCACAATCTTTAGAAAGGAGAGTTTGAGATGTCATGTTTCTGAAGTCAGAAGCAAGTTACCGCTGGTTTTAGTGGCAGAAATGTGAAGCTCTTCTATTCGCTACTGTGACTGCTAGATCTGGGCTGCATATATGCAAAAGGTGCAGAAATTTTATATGGTGCATTTAAGTGTTTTGAAGAGCAATGTCAAGAGGATAATGCATAGAACAGACTATAGGAACTGCTTGCTTCAGGTTCTGGATGCTAGCTGGTAGAGTGATATGTGCAGGTACATTCACTTCATTCTCTTTGTTTTCTTTTTTTTGGGGGACAGGGAGATAAACAGGAATTTCTTCAATGCACAGTTTGGAAGCTTATTCAGAACTGATGAGAATCCAACTTACTTCCTAAGACGTCTCTCTAGATTTGCGGATATCTACATGGCATCATTGAGTTGTCTCTTGAACTATGAGCCTGATTACACATTTTATCCGAGAAGGACTCCTTTGCAGCATGAACTTCCTGGCTGGTCAGACCAGCTGTGCACTGGTACATTCAGAATACCTTTCCTACAAGAGACGGTTCAGATCAAATAAACACTTGGCAGCTTCTCTCTAAAATGGGCAAATTTTTTTTAAGTACATGTATTTTATTTAAGTCACTTAAATCTGTTATCTTGATTTAGATGTAATTCATATGTATTCTCATAAGTGTTGTACCTGTTCTCTCCTCTCCTGCTGGGAGATGTGAAAATTCTTACACACAGAAGAGATGATGGACTGTCAAAATAGTAGTTGGGAGGGGGGGGACATTTGAGGGGAAGGATTGGTAGTGTTCTGGGGTGATTGTTTTTGTTCATTCGAAATTTCAGTCTGCAGCCTTGTGGTTTACTCTCTGTTCTGGCCCTGTTCAGCACTCCAGCTGGAGCCTGTAATGGATCTTGACACTGAAAAGCTTAAATCCAGTATTAGTAATTCAGTGATATGCAGTTAGCCAGTTTATGGTGAGACTAAGAGTGATGGTGTGCACATTTTACCTTTCCTTGCTGCTATATCTAGAGCCTTGCCTTTAACTGAACTAGCTGCTCTAGTGTTGGCGTGGCTCTGCTGTGTTGCAGTCCTTACAGTACTGGCAGGCTCAGGCTGGTGGGCTTTCTAAGGTCTGTGCAGTTGCTGTTCTTGCAATGTTTGTGCTTTGTCTGTAGGTGGGCCTAAGTGTAAAACTGAGTGACAGTAACTTGGGCTGCTTCATCTTCCTTTTGTTAACTTTTAGGCATCTTTCTTTTTAAGACTCAAAACACTTTAAACAGACGCTCTCCAATAATCAAGCCATTTCAAGAGGTCTTGCATTTTGCATTTCAAAGTGGAGACAGATCTCGGACAATCTTTAGATTGATCCTAAATGCTGCTTTTTAAAATTTTAAGTGTCTTACAGTGGTATACAATGTGGCTTTTCTGTTCCCTAGGAGAGAATGTATTTCATATAGCCTTCAGTAATGGACTTTTATGGTCAAACACGCACAATGGGCAAATGAGTTAAAACTTAAGAAATGAGAAAACGGAAACCAGAGTTTTCTGATGACTTTTTTTTTTTTAGCTCAAGCCCTGAAAGCTGAATTGGGGGTGGTGGACAGTTTTGCATCAAGCAAAATAATTTCGACAGTGCAGATTAGGAGTTTTATTGAATTACTGACATTGCAGGTAATGAATGCATGAACACAAAATCTGGGTAGCATGTATGTTCCAAAGATTTGAGCTGAAAAATGTCTTATTTTGCACAAGGAAAACATCTGTTGATGTGTTTCCTCAAACAGGCACTTTATAGAACTGTTATATAGTTGGTTTTAAATAAGGATGCTTTCCTTTCTCTGCATCCAATGGAAACGTGGTGTTTTTTTTTAACTGGTGCTTTCCACCCCAGCCATTTTAGAAGGCATAATATGATTAATGTTTTTCAAATTTTAGTTGAAGGCTCTGTTTTTAAAAGCGTATAATTCATAAAATGTATAGCATTTGGTATTCTTAATTTTGGGATATCACTTGCTTACTACCATAACTGTCAGATAAACAAACTTTTGGTGACCAAAAGTTTTCTTGTTTTTATTTTTAAACCTGTTCTGTATTATGTGCAAGTACCTATACTGAATTTCATATGCAGTGTCTTTCATATTTTTAAAAGCATGTTTGCAAAGTAAAGAATGTATTCTAATCTAGCCTGCACAATTTCCTAAGTAGCTTTCCTGTATGCTTGAAATCAGTCTGAAGTCCTCAGAGGTCGTTATAGATTTTATGTTCATGGTTTTCTTGTACTCCTGTTTCAAACTTGATGGCAACACCGCTGAAGAGCATGTGTGTGTATTTAAACAGATGAATATACTTGAAATTTCATCTGACAGTCCTGCTGTTTTGCTGGAAGAAAAAGTTTTGCTGGAAGTTAGTTTGGCCTTACTAGGAGACTTGTTGGTGGGGCTGTGGGAGAAATATTTAGCATAACTTGATAATGAAATGTGGGGATAGAAATATCCCCGATTTGCCTTTGAGTCTTTATCCTAATGCTCAGTCAGAACTGAACTTGGTGTTACACGTGTAGCACCTCTCATGCTCCAGAGATTTCAATGCATTGTTTAAAAAACCCAAAACCCCAAACCACTGTATGTTCTCTATCTTACTATCAGCAGATAATAATATTGTGTTACTCACTTCTGCATTATTGAATTTGGCAACGTTTTGTTGGTTATAGCTTGGGAATGTTTATTCTTCTAATGCTGGCTAGGAGTCAGTTTGCCTAATTTTCCTGTGTTAAGCAGGAGCAGTTTAATTGGATTGGATGCTGCTATTCACATAATATGCATTTTGTTTCAAGATGATTTTCTCCTCTCCCCTTTCCTTTCTCTTAACTTACAAATCAAACTTCTGTACAAAACTATGTTACAGCAGCCAGCTGAAGTAAAATCCTGTTTATATTGCATGACTTCTTGAAATAAACAACATTGCATGAAAAAAAAATTATGGGAGGGTTATGTTCCTTTGAAACACCCCAATATATATAATATGAATTTAAGTGAGAATTTTAAAGGGTATTATTTATTTTTCAGTGCTAGAATGCTCTTTAACTTTTAAAAAAGTCTTGATTTTTGTAATGATTTCACCTTGGTGCATTCTTCATTACTTATTTTAACCGTGTTACTGATTTCAAATAAATTTTTGAGCATGTTTAAAGGGCAATGTCTCTTTATATTAGGAGTATAGTTCATTTGAACACCAAAATAAGAAGAAATTTTCATTCTGTTCTATGAAAAATACAGAGGAGAATAGTCTGTCAGTAAAAGAAGAGTTTAATGAACTGTGGAATTTCTTTTTGTGATTAAAAATATGTAATGATTATTACAAAAATAAATGCTTGGACTTTATCTCCTGGTCCCTGTGAGCCTTAGTATTTTGGGTGACTGGGGAAAAGGTAAAAACGTAGTTGTATTAATGCAAAACACTGTGGGGAAAACCCTTTATCTCCTGGTCCCCTCTGTGGGGAACCCCATGTGTGTTCTATGCTTTTTTGATATCTTACAGGTAAAACCAGGTAGGCATGTGCCCTACAGGGTCCCCTGCAGTTAGGGGAATTACTTTAGCCTGTTTCTTTCACCCAGGCACATTTGCACATTAGATTCCCTTGCTTGTGCCTGATAGCTGTGTCAGCCCTGGATGTGCCTGTCTGCCTTGTTCTGATGGGAGGCACCCTGGGGTTGCTCTCAGAGGTAACTACCACTTCCCTGGAGTGACACCTTCCCTCCTGCCCCCCACGTGTGGTGGACACCGGGAAGCATATTGTAAGGGAATGTTACTGCTGCCAGTCAGGAAATTTTTGTTTTCTTGCTGTTCTGTGGTTTCTATAGCGTTCTCACAATTTGCAGTGATATTAAATGTTTTGAGAGAAGGAAACAACAGCAAATCAAAGTGACGTTTGATTCACTTCTAATAGTACTGTGAAATTTTCAGCTGTTATTGCTGTGCATTGCTTGAAAGGCAATGTTAATGTGCTTGGTGAAAATACTGTGTGTGAATAAGCAGGTAGCTTCTGCGCCTCTCAGACCTAAAAAACTGAATGTGGAGATGACATGGAGAGGTTATATCTTCATTGTCCACTTTTCACAAAGATGGCTCAAGTAAAACTTGATTGCTATTTGAACGCTCTCGTATCGCCTGTATTCCTTGCTAAAGCTGCTACAATTACTATAGTATTTCCCTTTGTCCAGGGAGGTGAGATGTAAACAAAATGCTGTCGTTGGAGGGAAGAGTGGAGGACCAAGTGGTGCGGAGAGGGTATTTGTGTTTCCTGCTGCTGAAATCCTTACAAGAAAGTATACTAGCAAAGAATCCCCTCAGTCTTTAAAAATACAGGTTTAACACATGTTCAGTTTCACACTTGCCAGTTGTAGTTGTAACTGAGCCAAAATGAAATTGTAGAGCTGGAGTGCTAGCAAATTTAGGATATTTGCCAAGTTAGCAGCCTTGTGTATTTGAGGCATTTTAAAATCTGTAAAGAGAGTAAAAGCAAGTAAAAATCAGGCTAGTGAGAGTCTACTTTACCCAGAAGCAGACAGACACCTCTCTGAAGGTTGGTTGAGACTCAGTTTTGCATTTGGCACTCACAGTTGGTATTGCTCAGATACAGCCAACACTTCTGAGGTTGGTAACTCTCTGAACTCCGTAGACTGCATCTTAAACGAAGCTGTGCTTTTTCGGTTCTTAATTTGTAATGAGACTTTATTCCCTGAAATGTGTAGATGCTGTTTTTTTCCCAGTAAGTTGAAATGTGTTTCATAATTGACTAATGCCAAATTCAATCTTTAATTCTGATCATGAGGACCACTCATCACAAGCTGCTGGTCATCTGAATCCTATAAAACAGAAGAAAAAGAAAATCAGACTTAAATATTGTGTTAAGAAATGAAAGTAACTTTTTGGCAAATTTGTCCATGCAGATGGCAGAGTTTGCACCTCACATTTTTGCACCAAACAAATCTTTTTACTCGATGCAAAAAGCCTTATTTTGATTTTAGACTCTGCATGTACATAAGGGTCTTGCTAAATTAGACCACTGCAGCTATTCAGATACCCTGGCTTCACTCAACCTTTTCTTCCCTTGATTCCCAGCCCTTTTCCTGTTGTGTTTCAGATTCTTTGGAGTGCTGGCATGGCACTTAGCTAAATTTGCAGCAAGTAGAAAGGGAAGACAAAATCAGAAGGCTTTTTATGTTTGTATAGATATGTTGCTGGCATCCAGTAGGATTTGAAGACCAATTTAATACATCACTCTTTGAAGGTAGACTTGAGATACAGCTGTAGATCACAGCCTTGATTTTGCTACCAGTGAGGTATCCAATTTCTGGCAGTGGTGACACAGGAAAGCCAGGAATGGTGTTTTCCCAAATTAATGTTTATTTTTTTCCAACTAGACATTTTCCTTTCATAAAGTCATTCCCTCTAACTGTTATTTTAGCTGTGTCTCCAATCAAAATTAACACTTACTGAGAAAAGATCGTAAGTAGGTTCTGGTGGAGTCACTTCAGAAGAACTTTCATACGAGGGGTTGCTGATATTTGAAGGCCGTGACTTGTCCAGTGGCGTTACGTCAGTGTCATCTTTTGACTACACAAAATCACACAAACCTCCTTAAAATCCATCTTCTACAGCACATTAAGCAGGGCATTTATGCTTCACTACCCGCTGGTGCAGTGTTGTGACTGAACTGAGTATCATCTAAACCACTGTCTCTGGGCACGACTGTGTTCTGGGTTGTTGTATCATCTCAGGTCACTTAACATGTTCATGTGTTGTTTTTGTTTTTTTGTTTTGTTTTTTTTTTTTTCCCCTCTCCCTTACTATTTTTAATTATCAGCAAAGATCATTAGAGGAAGTGTTGCCCTGATATTGTGCCTGGGGTAAAAGGTCCCTGGTTGGTCCCAAGCGCTCTCATTCCAACTATCTAAAACCACAAGAGTTTCCCCTAGCTTATGGCTCCTGTTTTTTGTTTCTAGATGACAATTCACATTATGTGCAGGAGCTAGAATAGGAAGGGATTTCTGGTTACTTCAAGGTACACTCTTTTGGACTGATTCTTTTGTATTTTGCAACATTTTTGTTTGTCATGCCTCCTCTCAGAGTAGTTTGGCTGTTGCTGGCTGGTTTCGCATCATCATGATACTATGTGAGGCTAGCAAAGTTAGTTAAGAGAAAGCAAGCACGAGAGTGCATCAGTTTAAAAATTTGCAGTTTTCAATCCTGCAATCATTTCAATTTGCTTGTCTTTTGAATCTAACCGTTTCCAATCAAAGATTTCAACCTCCAGAGCAGCAAAATTATTAGCAATGCCATGGAGGAGGGGGAAGAGTGGGTGCCCTTTCAGGGGTTGTAATTACCTCCTTCCCTAAAGGTGAGCTTTTTGGTGAGGCAAAGGCTTCTGCACTGGTGCTGTGTAGCTAAATAATCTTTAGGCCAGCCCTTGGTGTTGGAAGTGTCTGCAAGAGTAGAAGCCCGTTGGGTACCTGTGTGGGAGAGGTCTGGGGGAGCAGTAGGCAAATGTAAGCTCATGCCCAAACTTTGTGTCTTAGTCTGAACAGTTCAAGTGGGAAGTGATCAGGGATGTCTGTCATTTAAAGTGCAAGGAGAAACTGGAGGCTGAGTTTGGGAGGTGGCGGTGGGTCTGGGGAAGTGCTGCCCCTCTGCTGCCTACCTTGAAGTGTTGGAAGCCTGTGTTTCTCTTCTTGAACCTGAGGTAAGAATATCCAATAAAAGCCACAACTCCAGTAACCAGGAAGATGCCAAAGAATATTCCTGTCCCGGTACCAGCATGGAGAGGAGCCTGCAAGCAAGAGAGAGGGTGACCAAGGTATGGGTGGGTGTGGGTCACCCACCTTCCAGCGCCTGAGCACACACAGTGTCCTGTTGAGATATGCCCTAGTCCTGATCTGCTTTTGTGCTTGGCTTTCCTGGTGCATGTTCCCTAGAGACAGTTAAACGTGGCCTTTTGATAGTGATTACAGGCTAGATTTTTTGGGGGTACTGGACATTGCCTCTAGTACAGCTTCATATTGTTTATGTTTTTGACATTACAGAGGATGCATAAATGACCTTTTCTGGTCAGGTTTTTCAAAGCAGCAATAGAGGCTACAATCCTCACTGGCCTGATGAAGAGAAATGGGTACCAAATTCCTTTAAGTGCTTTGGAAATGTGTGCTACAAATCCTAGAGGGCTTTGCATGGGTTCAAGCTTATTCCCCAGTGCTTTTTGCACTGGGGAGGTGTTGGTTACTGCCAGCTATTGGCAGCCACACCATCCTCAGCCCTGCTTACCAGGGCTTAAACCAAAACACATCTGAGATGAGGCCCATCTCATGGCTGGTTAGAGGGACTGCCAGCCTCTGCAGAGTGGGTGCAGGGCTGGGCTCTGCCAGCGCCTTCTGTAGGTCATTTTGCCCCAAAACGTTCAATGCCTTTAACCTGAAATCATTCTTTGTTCAACCAGGTAAAGTGCTAATCCAGGTAACTGTATATAATATTTTATAACTAAATTAATAAAGATGTAGGTGAAAGACTGAAAGAAATTCACACGTGACCTGGATTTAATCTAAAGGGGAATAAAGCCTCCACACTCTGACTTTGGTTTGCCTTCTGCAGATCTGTGGCCTGATAGACTGGTATCATGAAGGTGACCAGCAGTTTGGGGTTAACAATAAGTTTGAGGGATCCCAGGGCATGCAGTGACTCAGGCTACAGTCTCTCCCCAAAACGCTGTGCTCTTTGGCAATCCAGGAGGTTAGGAGGTGTCTGGAAATGGATAGAAGACTCGTATGCTGTTACTCTTGCTTTTCCATGGGATGTCTTATCTCTGTGGCCTCCTGCCTAAGAAACTAATTATTAAACTTACCCTTGCAAAAATATTCACATTGTTTTCTTAATAGATGTGCTCTCTTCATTTAGTTTTCTAGAAAACAAACTAATTTACATGGTGTAATTGGACATCTGTAATATCATGCTGCTGTTGACTGACAAAAATTGCCTATTATCTTGAATCATTTTCAGACAGTAATTTATGCCTTTACCCAAGTGTGTAATCTCCTCCTACTTCTGAGGGTTGTAGGCTGCAAGGGATTTTTGCGAACTGTGGTTGTGCAGGCATGTTATTGAGCTTCTAGGAACAAGAAGCCTGGTTTGTAAAGGAGAAAAGGGTTGCTCTGTACAAAATGAAGGTGAGAAATAGGGTGTCTATAGGATTAATCTTGTGGACCAAGGAGGCAGCTGGTTGGCTGCTTCTGAAATCAGAGCTGGGATGGATGGGCTGTGAACATGAGTGAGCTGCCTCCAGCCCACAGAGAAAGATCAGAATGAGTTTACCCCGATGGGAAATTTTTCAGATTAAATAAGTGGTGAGTCTTCTTGCAATGTCAGCTTGAGCCTGTGTTGGGCTGTCAGAGTACCCTGCGTGGAACGGAGCTGGGGAGCACCAACGCTGCACATCCGAACACCTACTTCATTAAGGAAAACATTTTGTACTGGAAAAAATGGTGCTTGCTGCACACCTCTCCGGGACAGCAGCAATCACTTTTGTGAAACATCCCAGTTGCACTGCAGGTGAACAAAATGTTTTTTTTCTGGCTTTCATACAAAGCAGTAAACTTTGCTGGTGGGAAATAAACAGAGCGATGTTCCTCCCTGTCTGCTGCTGGGCCCTGAACCATTTTGGTTCCAGCTTGAAGCAGTGTAGCTGCTAACTCGACTTTCCTCCGTGGAAAGGACAGCACCCCTTTCTGAACGGTGCTGTACTGCCACGCAGTTTGGTTTGGCCTTTCTAATGGGAGAGAGAACTGGATAACTGGGACAGACCACTGCAGGAATTCATGGAGGCAAAATATCTCTATTTTGAAAACACCTTGTTGTTTTGGATAGGAATGAATGCAAAGCCCGGAGTTAAAACTTTTCCTCAGAAGCTTGAAAAATCTTTTTGGAAGAATTGAAATGGAGCTTTATAAAAGCTCCCTTACAAAGATGAGCTTTTATTTATATAAAATAAAAGCTCCATTTATATACAAAAATGGAGCTTTTATTTATATAAAATAAATGTGGGAAGAACTTGTTTAGACAGAAACGTTTTTAACAAGCTTTACTGGCTCCTTGTTCTCAACTTTTAAAAGGTTATTTTGAAAGAAAATTAAACCAAACCTGCATACATGGGGGTTACACTGGGAATATATGAATGTCCATAATGAGTTTGAGATGACATAAGCCACAGCCACCTCCCAGCACCCCCCAAAAAAATAAATCACTATCTACTTACATGTGCTGGTGGAGCCTTTAAAGGTTCTGAAATAATGTGGATAATCCCGTTGGAAGCAATTATATCCCACTCAACAATAGCACTTCCGTCTACGTATCTGATCTCGCCCTGCCAGGAGGAAGAGCAGTGACAGAGGAGCTTTGACCCTGCTCCCTTTGGGACTGAAACCTTGAGACGATTTCCCCATGTCAGTTACTGACACACAGAGAAAAATCACATGGCAGTTGACACTGCTGCCTCCCTGGCCATCAGCCTGGGATGGCCCCAGGCTGGTCATGGCTCTCCTGCATTACCTGTATATTGCCTTCAGGCATTTCTTTATCTGTTTTTTGTGATGTTGGGGCCATTGCCAAGCTCTGTCTAGGAGTGCTGTTACTCCTGATGGCCAGGCAGCCTCCAGCCTGCCTCTGTTACAGCTGCTTGCTGTGCTGAATTTGCTGGGTCAGCACTGACAGGGAGCTGCTGACCACAGTTTTTTTTGGTGGCCTAGCATCTGTGAACTGGAAGGTGGTTCCATTGGGCAGCTTATTAGGAAGGGATAGAGATGGGATCAGTCATTGCCACCCCAACACTTCTCTAAACTCTGTTGATAATGGGACTCCTTGACTGCTTTGGGCTGACTCCGAGTCTCTCCAGCCTGTGTCTGTGTTTTGGGAGGGTGTATTCACGGGCATCCGCGCCATTGAGAACTCTGCTTTACATTGCATCCTAGCACACGGGTTTCTCCTCGGTGAGCAGAACCAGGAGCTGCTGCCTGCTCTTACCCTGGCACGGGGCGGCATGCTGCTGCTGGAGCACATGGCTGGCTTTCTGTGCCCAGGGAGGAAGGGGCTCCGCTGGGGTGGCACTGCAGAGCCACATGGCAGTCAGGCTCTGTCCTCCCTCACCCCTGCGCTGCCCTGCCAGGGTTCTGGGGAAAGCTGGTGGGCTCTGGCCTGCTGTGCTGGGACAGGGGGGTGTTTGGCTGCCTGGAGCATGTGTGGAAAGAGGCTGCCACCTCTCCTTCCCCTCCTGGCACATAGCCGAGCTTTAACTGCAGCAGGGGGAACCAAGGGTTTGCTCAGTTCCTCCAGGGAGGAAGAAAAGCAACACATTTCCAACCAGCTTTAAAGGGCAGGAGCATGATTTGTGTTAATAGGCTCAGAGCTTCCCCATGGCAGCTTTTGAAGCAAGGAGGATTTTTTTTCTTCTAACTCAAATACCAGATCAAAGTGATCCAGAAGAGCTCCTGGCATGCTAATGAGTGATACAGGTAAGCCTTGTGCTGGTGCTCATGAGGATACACTTTATTAATGGAATTACTGGGTTTGTAGTATAGGTTTTAAAAATATAAATGGCAATTCTCATACCAAAGGAGTTTCTCCTTAAAGGAGAAGGAAGAAGGGAGCAAAGACAACAGATGAGTCATTCGTGCACCTTTTCCCGCAGCATCTATTTTCTTCTTGTTGGTGTCTGTGAAAATCCCCCCAAACACCATCTTGGGCACTCAACTTTCCATGGGTCTAGTGCCATGGGCTAGAGCACGTTTAAACTTCAAACCCACAGACACAGTGTTCCTTATTTTCATATTCAGTTATACAGTTATACCTGCAGTAGAGTCCCAACCTCAGTCTTAAGGGGTTGCTGTCACAGAGGTCATTTTAAAAGCCTAGGAAGTATTTTCCTAATAAAAAATGAGAAGTTGGGTGTGCTTTCAAAGGGTACTTTCCATTTGCAAAAATGATTTGCATTTAAAACCCACTGAAATAATAATAAAAAATGCAAGCCCGTTTTGTCTGCTTTTGCTCTGATGGCATCTCCTTAATGATAAACTGCTGCTCTCATCTCTGCTCCTATTGCACTGCCATCTGCCGTAATCCTGCCAGGCTCAGAGGAGAGTTGAATCAAGCCCCTATCCCCATCCTGCCATTCCTGCGGGCCACCTGAACAGCTTCCTTTGAGTCAGAGTTTGGACATTTGCAAACCTGTAAATTTGCATCTCACCAGCTGCTATCGTGCAGTCTCTGGGCAGGAAAGAACCTTCTGAAGTCAGCCCCTTATTGCTGCCCACTACAACCCCACTGAATTGCTCTCTGGATCCATGTGTCGCTTCTTACAGGGTATGGAATAAGGGGGGGGAAAGCATGAAAATGGGAGATTTATTATAAAGGTACCTGTTGAGTAGTGGGGGCGTGATGTTCCTGGCCCTTGGGGTTTGTAATGAGAAGTTTTTCCCCTAGACGAGTTAGAAGAGTGGTTCCGTTGGTTAAGTCCTCATAAAACATTATGCTGGCATTAGATAAATGATATTCAATGTCTCGCCCAGAAAGTGTCTGTAAATGAGAGCAAAATACAAGGCACGTTAACTGATCTCATTAATCCTCTGGATTAACTAGTAGGCTAAGCGCCTGTGACTTTTTTCCCTCTTTGCTATTAATGCTGCAGCATGTGCAATATGGGGTAGAGGCTGCTGGGAAATTTGGATGCCAACAGTGGTATCCACTGGCCTCTGATGGCTGCCTGCAGCAGGCAGCACCTTGATTCTGGGGGGACAAAGGGTTTTACTATTTTCTTTGATGACCCCAAGTGATGAGCCCCAGCGATATTCAAAACACCTTGAAGATGCAAACCAGGACATAAACCCATTTGAATTGTTTGAGACAATGTTTGAAGGAAGGAAGGGATAAGCACAGAAATGAAGCCAGAAACAGATGTCTTGAATGTATTTGTGGGAAGTACCAAAGCTGTGCACTGCTTTCTTCAGATAACTGTGCTTGATGTCAGTAAGTCAGAGAAGGCTTCATTTCAGGTAGACTCTTGTATAACTGGGTAACTAAAATCCATGATGGAAAAGTCTCTGTAGTGACTCAAACACTCGATAACCTTACACTCCTAACTATGGAAAAGAAATGGAAATGATGAACTCGCCTCTTTCAGAAGCACAGTTTAAACTACATAGGGTTACACAGAAGTCACATCATACTAAGATTATTAGGGTTTTTTTAAGCTTTCACTGGGATACAGAAACCCATAGTGACTGTTTAAGAAGTTTTATTAAAACAAGAAGGAAAAAAGAAAAAAACCCTGACCTCATTTTCGCTTAACCCATTGTCGTTTGGAGCAAAGAGAGTGGCGTGCACTGACAGGTCTGTGAGGTACCGCAGGAACTCTCTCCCCTTCCTAGAGCTGTTGGAGTAAGCCATGACGTCCTAGGCAGAAACAAATCTAGCTTTACTAAAGAGCAATTGTGAGCTCCTGTGTGGGGAGCTGAAATGATGAGACTGTATAAATAACAACAAAGAAGTTTTCTATTAATGGCCACGAAGTAACTCTGGAGTGGCATTACAGAAGTAGTTTCTACTCAAAACCCAGTTTTAGCTGCGTTTTGGTGAGCACATCTTAAACTGACTTGCAGGAATTGAGCCCTTGCTGCCTGTGGGGGTCCTAACACATGTAATGCCTTTCTGAGGAGTGGCAAGAAAGGGACCCTCTTAATGCTTTGCCTTATTCCTCAGCAGCAACTCAATGAAATTACCAAAAAGCACTATGTTCCCTGTGATGCTTAGAAAGCCTCACAGCAGTTGTGCCCAGAATCCTCTTTAAGCTAAAGCTGCAGTAGAATTTCATTTCCAAAAAAACTCCAAAACCTCTTTGCAGCAAGTCATTAAAAAAATAGCAACTAAGTTCTGATCGTTGACGGTGCAGAATTAAGACCACTCCACCTTGCTTTGCTGGTGTGGTGTTGTTACCTGCTAGTAAAGCAAACACAGATACAACTTGGTGGCAGAACCTGCTTTGCTCTGCTCACCCAACCGGGCAGTGTGTCAGCTGTGGGCCGTACCGACAAGAAGTTTGTCAGCGTTGGGAAGGACATCAGCACTTGCAGCAAGTTCCCGCTGCAGGAGAAGCCGTCCCCCACGTAGCCTGGCTTGCAGGTGCAGTTCACCTCTGGAAGGTACAAACACAGATAGCTGTGTGGGAAAACACCCTTTGGTAGAAAGCTTTAGGCTGTCCTGTGCCTGAAAAACAACTTGCAGGCAATCAATTTTTTTTGTTTGTTTTTTAAAGTTAAAAAGAGGTAGAGTCTCTTGAAGTGTTACCTAACAGCCTGTGGCTGACCAAAGGAACTGAAATCTGGGCTGCTGCTCCCCTTTGCACAGAGGGATGCAGCAAAGGACCCTCTTACCTTTCTCCCTATAGCAGAAGACGTCCCAGGTTTCACTCAGGTTGACTCTTCTCCCATAGTCCACAATGCCAACGTACCCGGAGCCGCAGTTTGGGGAGGAGAAGGCAGTTGGGTAGCCCACTCTTTCGCTGTCTAGCCAGCCAGCAGCGCACAGGTGGTACCTCGCCTGAAGTCAGCACAGCCATAAGGGAAAAAACACAGGGGGAAGGGCTGAGTGGTGGGGCTGGGGTGCTGTGAATGAAATGAACAATCTCACCAGGGTGCTTAGGCAGCGCCTGACCTGCTGGCACTCGGTCTGAGGGAGCTCTGTCCATCCATCTGTCCTGCATATCCTGCAGCCTGCCCTGTGCTGAACTCAGTGACAAGGGGATGCAGGGACAGGGGTTCCTCTGAAAGTCAGTGGCTCCCTGTATGGACTAAAGGAGCCTTTCCTGGGAAAAGCTTCCCTGAGCCCAAAGCCAGCAGGAGCAGAGGTGGTTGTGAAAGCTAAGGGGAATGTACAGTCCCACTGTGTGTCAACCCATCTTTTGGCAGCATGGGAAGGGTTGACAAACCAGCTCAACACAGAAAATAAGTCCCCAGAAGCGCTGGAGCCAGCCCCACTGCTGACTGCAGCTTTGAGGAAAACATTTAGACGATGGGGCACAGGAAATCTGCAGCTGTGGCTGCAGTCTGACTCTCCTCAGGCAGCAGAAGGAGGTTTATGAGCTGGCTGTGGCTCAGCCTCACATTTTGCTAACGCTGTCTCTAAATGGTGAACCATCTTTCTGACCCATTCTGCTAAAACAAGTTTTACAAACCCAAGGTGTGATGCTCATCCTACTGATGTCAGCCATGCATTGTTTGTAACATACTCAGGAAAAAGAATATGGAAATGGGTCTGCTAAATTAACAACATTTGGGGATAAGATTCCTGGAGCTGTACATTAAAAAAAATAAATTAGGCATAATTCTGAAGTGTACACTTCTTTAAGAAGTGCTAATAATGAAAACCCCTGTGAAAACCCTCTGTAAGTCTGACTACCATTTCACCCCAGTATCACTAGAATAAAGAACTTGGCAACTGGTTTCAGTGCTGTATGAGCAGGCATGAAATCAATACACAGTCTGAAAACTGCTCCCAGCTAAACATACCCTGGGGCAGGGGGTTAGGAAAGGAGGGAAAATGGTACATGTTAGCACAGAGGAGCCCCCTGGCTCCTCCCTCCCCATTTACGCTGCAGCTGGGTATCTCCTCCATCAGTGACACTCCCTCACCTTCTGCGCGTACAGCAGCTGGTTATACGTAGCGATGGTGGCTGACTCGTTGGCACAGGCCTCCTTTGCCTTCTCATAAGTCATTTTGTACTGCCCTTGTGGGGACCGTAAGTGGAAAACCCCAACGGTGGTATCTGCAAAGAGAGAGAAGAACCAGCTCTTCCTGAAGGGGTTTCCATGTCTGGATGCAGAGTCCACTGTGCCATACAAATAACCGTGAATTCTGTGACATGTGGTTAGGACAGATTGAACCCTTAAGGGCAGCATTTCTACCTGGAATGCCCTCATCTGTCGCTTCATAAATCTGGTATCACAAAGTCTGTAAACACATGTTATAACTTTAATCTTGTAATTGTTTCAATGGGACATAGGTAAAGGACTGAGTGAGCTTACAGACACAAGGATCCTGGCCACCCCAGTGCAGTGGCACAGGGATGAGGATGTTGGCACCCTGTCCTGGGTGTACACAGTGCCTTCCTCACCTTGGAAGTGGAGATCGGCACAGTCAGCATCAGGGTGGCACTGCCCGTTGTCTTGCAAGCAGCGGTCAAGAGGAAGTTGCATCACCGAGCAGTTCAGCCCATCACCAATGTAGTTATTTTTACACTCGCACTTGCGTTTGTCCTGGTCAGAGAGAGAATAAAAAAGGCCAAGCCAAGTACTTAGCTGACATAAAAGTGGTATTTCAAGCAACATTCTGAACTGTTGGAAAAATTTCACTTGATATAGCCAGGAATGGACAAACAGGAAAGTCGCTACTAACAACTGTGATTCAACAGACCACAAACTCTGATGCTGACATTTGTTCTTCTAAGCAAAACATTTACACATTGCACTTTGGTGCTTTGTTGAATTAACACCAAAGCATAATTCCATCCACAAAGCTAATAACACGCATTGGAGAATTATATGACACATAATTAACAAAAATGGATGGCAAACCTATGAAAATTGTATTTAAATGACTGGCCATGGGAGCATGAAAGGAATTTAGCAGCCCAATGATAGTAATAAATTGAGAACTAGAAACCAAGCAGGAGCTGGTGACATCCAGGGATTGTAATGGTTGGCAGCTGGAACGGAGTAGCGGCAAGGCTTTTCTAGACAGCTCCTGGAAGACACATCAGGCAAGCCACCAAAATGGAACAGACAGGTGATCCTGAAAGCACCAGGACAAATGCTGGATCAAGTCGCCAGCACAAGTTTTCCTCAACAACATTGAGGAATGTGGACCGTGTGAGCCAAGGAATTTGTATCATGTGGCTGCAGAGCTTTTTAAGCTGGGACTGGCCAACCAACAAGTGACACTATTCTCCCAGCTGTCCCTAGGTTTAGCTACCAAAATATATTTAGTTTCAATCCAACCAAGTCCTATTGCAAATAGGGATATCCAGTTAAGGAGAGCTAAGAAGGGGACAGAAAAATTACACATGCAAAATATCTCATCTGCTGTGGTACCTCTTTCCCTAGAGAAAAGATATCAAACTGCTTCTCATCCCACAGCTGAAAGGACACTGAACTGATGTGGAATGTAGGCTGGAGGTATGTAAAGGTTGTTTTGGAAAAGAGGGACTTTGTGAGGTGTGAAGTGTGATCCAGCCAGAGAAAAGACTTCTGCTGGCACCAGGAAGAAATGCCTCAAATTTCCCTGCTGGTGACTGAAATCATTCAACTTACAGGTCCTATGACAGTGCAAATGGCATGCTCATGGCAGCCTCCGTTGAACCCATCGGCGCAAGGATTTATTGGAAGGCATGTAAAGCCGTCGCCTTTGTATCCTTTCTGGCAGTTGCAGAAGACTTTTAGCCCGAGCTGTGTGCATTCAGCTGCCTTGTGGCACCCGCCGTTGTTTTGTTTGCAAAGGTCTGCAGCTGCACGGGGGAAAAGCAAACAGGTGAGTAAAGTCTGCTTTTAAAGAGGATGTTCTTCACAAAGACAAACCACCTCCAGAATTTTAAGGCACACTGAAAATACTTGAACAATTGTTTGGGGAAAAAAATTGTTTGAGTTTTCTGAGGCATTCCAGAACTTGTGCAAAGGCTATACTTGATGGCTCTGAAGCCCTGGTCAGCATGTCCGCGATTTAAGAAACATGGCACCACTCCCCAGAGATTCTGCTTCACCTTTTGGCAGCCCAAGAGAGCTGTTTTTTGGGGACTCTGCTTTGGCCAGGGTGACTTTGGGGGACATGAGACGCCTCGCTCAGAAAGAAGGACTCTTTCTGCAGCGATGTTACCGGGGAACTTCCTTGCCTAAGGTCATCAAAGAAAATCCATAAACTATACACTGCTGCAAACCCTGCTGTCTCCAAAATCTGACTGAAGTGTGCTTCTTGCTCGTACTCCTGCTTGCTAAAGCCTCGTGAAACCACCACTTACTTCAGAAAAAGACTGATCTGTATATGTCCTAAATTTGTTCCACTTGCTGCCTGTGGAAGGTTTTAGGTTTGATAGCCAAGATTTCATACTGGATGGTAACTACATGCAAGCACATGTGCAAAGGGGGACCACCTGCTTTCTTGCAGCCGGCTGTGCAAGAGGGAGCTCACCTGTGCATGTGATCCCATCCCCGTTGTAAAACGGCTTGCACTGACAGGTGTTGTTCTCCATGCAGACAGCGTTGGCAGAGCAGCTCGGGGAACACACTGGCTGCAGAGCTGTGGGGAAGGCAGAAGAGCTGGGGTGAAGATGCTATTTATATTGCAATGCCCTTGTTTCATGCAGAAAGAAAAGCCCTTGTACTAGTCTTGCTAACTGGAAAACCTGTTAAGAATTTTTTCTTGACAGCTTACCTCTCAGGTGATATCTTCCCCCATGTAGCCCAAAGCCCCTCCACAGGCAGGTAAACACTTACATTCCCTTTTCACAAAGGAGGAGACAGGGAAGTGAAGGGACATGCTCAGAGTCCCTTAGCCTTCAGTGAGGACTTCTGACGTTATTAACCCTTTCTTTCTCTTCTCTACACAAACCCTCTGGTAAATTTCAAGTGCTATCCACCCGTGGCTTCATGCGATGGAGTGTAGCAAGAGGAGGCAGAGACCTAGCTTGGTTTCACATAGCCGGCCAGTCCATCCTGTTTCACAGAAGCAGCGTCCTGTTCCCAAATATCCTTCGTCACACTGCCCGTTGGTCTTGCATTCGCAGGCTGCAAAAGAAACACAGAGGGATTGCTTAGAGAGCTGCCTTTGGGAAAGGGGAAAATCTTTCCCTAGAGAAACATCATCTAGACCATCAGTTTAGATACAATATTATTTAACAATTATTTAGATAATTTAACCTTATGCTTTTTCACCATGAGGTCAATCAAGCAGTGGGCCAGACTCTTCAGAGCGGTTGGGCACTTTCCATCCTTGGTTTGCAAGCCCCCAGAAGAAAAACCCTGAACAGCCTGATTTGAGCAGGGGGTTGGACTAGAGACCTCCCAAGGTCCCTTCCAACCTGAATTATCCTGTCATCCTATGATTTTATAACTGGCATTCATTCAATGTGCCTCTGATAATGAAAATGAGTATTGATCTGCATTTCGGTAGAGTAGCAAACTTCACAAAGAACTGTGTTGGGAAGGTGTTAATGGCTGAGCTGAAGACCCAGCCTGATGATGTCCTAATGTGCAGCAGCTGCTGGGTGTGGGGAAGCCTTTTAGCCAGAGAGACGATGTGCAGGGAGAGACGGTTTGGAGAAGGTCTGTCTGAGTAAGGAAACCAAATATGAGGTTAGTGATCTTTGCTGTAAAATGTGAAAATTAGCTGTAAAAATATATTTTTAAGGTTTTAGATATTTTTATCACTAAAGGCTTCTGAATTCCTTTTATACATGGGGTGTTACTCCCTATGGCCTGCAAACTTAAGCATGAGGCACTGATTTAATCTGTTGGTGTTTTTTTTTTTCTTTTTTTCCACTCTGAGCCCTTCAATAACTTGTCCTTCTGTCCATGCTGAGACCTTCTTAAGGAATTATTGAAAGCTCTCTGCTTTATAATGTAATGAAGCAACACCCTTTCTTGCCTTATTCCTCTTTCTGAAAAATCATTGTTTAGGGAGGAAAATAATGTGGAATTGGGGAAACTGATTCTGTGAAGACCTGGTCCTGCTGAGAAGGAGTTTCACCCTCTGGTTATCTAATTTTTGGTTGACATAAATATATGTTGAAGAGAGGCTATAAAACATTTTTTCTGTTAAATACCACAATCTGGGTCAGACTACCAACTCACAGTTTATGCTATATTGTGTTATAAAACTGATAAATTACAGGTAAGCATATCTTGAGCACTGGTATCCAAGCCTAGTGTCTTGCCTCCACCCTGAGGATATCTAGCTTATAAACCCCACCATATGTGCATCATGAGCACTCCAGCTGCACACTGTTAGGATGGAAGGGTTAATGTTGTAGCTTCCCATCTGAAGGCTTTATGTTGGGAAAACATTTAAGTTTAAAGGGTGATACTGATCCTGGTTCCACCTAGCTTAGATTTAAAACCACAGCAAACTGAATTATGTGAGCAGTTTTTTGGCTGCTGTCCCTCTTCACAAACTGCCTTCATCTCGGTGTCCTTTTTCTTATCTTCTGCAGCAGTAGTGCATGGCCTTGGTCTCCTGCAATTCTTGAAGAACCACACTGCTATAATGCTGTCTAGCCCTTTATGGGGATGGGGGAGAAGGCTGTGCTGTAGTTGAAAATGCTTCTTAACAGAGGCTCTGTCTCCATTCCCTGTTACTTACGTACCATATCAGAATAGGAGGAGCCTTGCAGAGAAATCTAAGTAAGCTTCTGCCCCCTGCCTTCTCCTCCTCCCTTCTGAGACTTTGTGCTATCCCTCCTTGTCAGAAGGCACTCAGGAAAAATGTTGGTGTTGAAAGCAGGAAGCATTTCTTGGTTTACTTAACCCATCACTGACAAAAAAGTTTAGGTGTGATATGGCAACAGCATGGAAAGAAAATGTAAACGTACGCCTGCAGTTGGAGCCATATCTGCCTGGCAAGCACAGCTCACACGAAGTCCCGTTGAAGCCGCTGTTGCAGTGACACTCTCCTGTCCCACTGTACCCATCATCACAGGCCCCGTGGTTGTTGCATGGGGTCTCTGGGCCTCCTGGGCAAGCTGAAAGGTTTAAAAAAAAAAGTGGTTGTTTATCTCAAGTGTGTTTATTCATTGTCACTGTTATTTATTGTTCTGTAAAAATCCTTGAACAGGGAAAGGCCTGTAAATGCATCTCTGTTGGGGCGTGTAAAAGCAGCTGTGACACTTGTGAGTGCAAACCTTGTGCTCTAAATTCCTTGACATGCTTTTACAATGCCTCTCAGAAAGGTGTTGTAGGCTCTTCCAGCCCTGGGTCTGGGTGCTTGCTCCTTCAGACCCAGCAGGGAACGGCACTGCCCAGCCCCTGCCCAAATCCAGCCTTGCTTGTGCACCTGGTGATGCTGCGGTGAGACCAAAGGGCAGCTCAGGACGGGCCAGTCAAAATTGCTTGTGTCTGTACGTGAAATCTGGACAGAGTGAGCTAGCAGGGCTATATCCCCGGACCTGTCTTTCAGCAGAGGTCTTAACCCAGATCTGGGGTGCCTTGGTGCTGTTCCCAGTGGGGCTGGCAGGTGAAGGATGACACAGTTCATTAGTGCCTGCTAACAAATAGCTGGAGCTAAAGCTTCCAGAACTGTCTCACACCTGGTTAAAGCTACAATTTCTGAGCTTACACCAGTGGTGTGTGTGCTTGTGGGTGGCTGGGTACTCATACACCATGTGTCTGGTGTGTCCCAGTGTCACTACCGCCAAGCTGATGTTTGTTTTTTTGTTGAAAGGACTTTCAGCTGGTCACTGATTAAGACCTGCTAGGTTTGGTTATAGCAGAACAGTCTTTACTCTCCATAGCATTCACTTAGTTTGCCATTAGCATGGAGTTTAAAACTTGCTGTAAACACAAAAAGGAGATTATTTGGAGTGGCAAAGCAATAATAATTTCTGTTTACTTCAGCTCTTGCGATAGAGTTCCCTCACCTTGGGGCTGGTCTCTTGTCGTGCCCCCACCCTGGCTCTCACAGTTCAGCCTGCTGGGTGCTATGCATCTGGGTTTGGGGAGGGGGGTTCCTACCTTGGCAGTCTGGCCCGAAGTAGCCCTTGCAGCACTTGGCTGTCTGGATGACCATGGAGCAGTTCCTACGGCAGCCATCCCTCCGCAGCCCGTAAGACTCGTACGTGCACCACTGAATCCCTTCCTGAGCCAGCACAGAGAGGGGGAAAACCACAGGAAGATGAATGGTATGTGGAGGTTTGGGTTTCTTCTTCAAATCAGTTTCTGATGTACACTGAATTAAAATGTGATGTGTGAAGAGTGCAGGTGTGAGGTCCCCATCTCCTCTTTGATTCCCAACTTGCAGAGCAGACCCCCAACCTCATCAATGGTGCTTACAAGTCAACCGAAGCACTTGCTACAGTGAGACAGTGTCTGGGTGTTTGCCCAGGGACAGCTTTTTCCTGGAGGCTTTATGGCATCACTTAACAGTGTGGTCTCACTGTTGAAGGTTCTCTTTTTATTTTTCCAAAGCAACTTATTCTAGTTTGCTTGTGTGAAGTACAGAGAAGAGCCATTGAGACTACTTAAATGCAAGATTTTAATGTATTACCTTTGGTTTTGTCCCTGGAGGGCATTTAGAATTACTGAAACAGCTAACACAATGCCCCTGTTGTACAAAATGGAAAAAAAAAAAATTATATTTAAATAATGGTAACAAAAGGCTATTTGATATGGACAAAAAGTCTGTTTTACGGGAGCAGCAAATAATGAGCAGAGAAGAATGTAGGCTTATGCTTGAAACAAATTATAATAACTCTGGAGAAAGAAGAGAGGAGAATGACATCAAAATAGTCACATTAATTTAGTGCCATGAAATGCAAGAAATTAGTTTTGATAAGTTCTGGAAGAAGAAACTTTGCTCTGGGTTTAAACAAGCAGGGGAAAATAAACGGTTGATATTCTTCAAACAAATATTGACATGGGCTGCATCAGGTCTGGATGTCTAATTTGGAGTAGAGGTAAATGGCTACTTCTCAGGAAGCACTGGACAGATCTGAGGAAATGATATCTATTTCATTTAACAAAATCATGAAACAAAAGGTAATTTGAGCAGATGGGATACACACAAGTGTTGGTTTTATAAGTGAAATATAAATTCTAATAAACTTTTTTAAGACTGACTACATGGAATTTTTTTTACTTCTAGGTAATTTTTTCATACATTCAAATTAAAGTGAAGTAAATTTGGTCTTGAAACCAATTAAAAATGGGTTTCAAAACTTCCTGCTTGTGGGATGCATCAAGGTTCACAGAGGAAACTTTGTCCACGCTAACAGTGCCTGTTCAGGTGTGCTAAAGGATATTTCTGTGAAAGCAAGAAATGTGAGAAACCAGGAGTCTGGCTAATAGACTAAGCAGTTTTCTATCTTGTGTCCTCAATATCCTGTGCAGTTGGGACAGCAACACTGTTCTTTTGTAAACTTCTGGGAACTTCGTAAATGCAGTCTCTATGACCAAATTCATAGTGTGGATTTGTATTAATTTAAAAGTGCCATAGGAAGATCTGTCCTTGCTCAAATTTATGCTTGCATTTGTAAGGTACTGTTCTTACTGAAGGGCAGGGCTCGCTAAGCTGGTCCTAACTGAAACTGCTTGTCTTGTGTGGTGCTTAGTGTGGAAACAGGGTTTCTGTTGTGTACTTTCCAGGTGTTGTGCTGCGCTTCTCAATCTTAGCTCTAACCAGAGGGGCAGGTGAAGCCAGCCTGAAGTGGCAGGACTTAATCTCAGTAGTGCCAAAGCTGCTTGGGAGTGTTTCCCTGGTCTCTGTGAGGATAGAGTTTGACCTTTGGGGCCTTTGCCAGGGTGAGGGACCAAAAAAGGGGACTCACCATGAAATCCATGGTAAAGAAGCTGTCACAACGTCCTCCTAGGCTGGGGTCTGTCAGCAGGCAGTTGATGCCGTAGGCGATGCCCCCATCAAACTCCAGCTGCCGCTGCACTATCTTACACTGTCTGTCATTCAGGAAAAGGGCGCCCTGAGAGATGGGATGGGGAGAGGGGGGCATGACAAGTCATGAGACAGTCTTCCTTGGGACCAGGCTGAATCCAGGTCTTGCATGAGTGTTAGAGATAACCCTCCCTCTGGTCTTTTAAAGCTTCCCCTCCAATCTGGGGACCTAGAGCTGAATGCTGTAACATGACAGATGGGCAGATCTTTTGCCTTTCCTGAAGGGGACAGCGTATGCCAGCCCTGTGTCTACAGATTTACCTTATGCACATTTAGTGTCAGTCACGTTTTCAGAGGCAGATGCTTGCCAGGTGTGATCCAATACATTTGCAAAGAAAAACATGGTGTGGTTCTGGCTTAACAGGCTGCATGCATACGTGCAATCTTAGCTTGGAAGTGTTTACAAACCAGTTTTCATGGAGATGCTACATTCATGGGGCTTCTGTCAAAGCCAGGTTCACTGAATAGTTTTCCATTGTGTATTTCACTGCAGAAGTTAAAATGTGTCAGTATTTCAGTTTTGAGGTAACACAGAGCTGTTTTGAACAAATAACATCTTACAACACAGAAAACGACAGCTCCAAGAGTCTTGCAAACTGTCTAGTTTGCTGAATTTGTTGGGGTGGCTGCTCTGGTTTTGTGGCTCTTGGCATGGACTGGTGAAGACTAACTGAGTTTTGGTGCCACTGACCCTTTCTGGGGGGTTATGTGCAGGCACAGTGGGGTCTGCATGAGTGGACCCTGCAGCAGGGACAAGGGGTAGGTGTGCTGGCAGGGTGAACACTTACGATATCCCCATTATCCCCACAGCTAACGCTGAGGTTGGAGCCCTGCAGGGTCTTCAATGAGGTAGAGCGGGGAAGCTGGAAGGCCAACACCTGGGAAAGAAATGGTGGAAATGCACGTGGCTGGGTTTGCATGTCTTGGCCTTGGTAATGCTCCTAAAAATCAAGGGCTTACCGCAGCATCGCGGACAACATGGAATTTGAGGTACTGCACCAGCTTGTCCGTGTTGGACTTCTTGAAGAGGAAGTCCTGCTGCTCCTGTGGCAGCCCACGGATAGCTGTGTCTGTGGGCCAGAAGAGCGTGACGGGTTTGTGAATAGGATCATTGATCAGCCCAAGCAGGTTGTTTTTCTGCAAAATACCAAAAATTTGGGCAGGATTAATGCTCCATCTAAACCGACATTGACCCTATGGGGTAAGTGTCTAGTATAACTGGGATGCAGTGGCCTGTGGGCTGCCTGGTCACCAGCCTGCAAACACCCTGAGTTGAGTTGCCCAAGTTGAGTTACATGACTGAATTCTCAGAAGCGCTTCATCACCCAGGGCTGCCCACTGAAAACCAGGCTGATGGCTCAACAAGTCATACCTGAGTCAAACTTTGGCCACATAATATGACATATGGTAGGACAGAGCTGAATGTGGGGAGAAAAGGTGGATGTGGGTCTGCTTGACATTCCCCCCACCTCTGTGGGAGAGGAACCACGTGATGAACAGGGTTGTCATGTACTGTGTGAACCCTTTGGCTCCACTGAACGCCATCCTGCTAGTAATGCCATGTGCCATGTCTGTGCTTTTGCTTTTTTTTAAAAAAAAGTGTTTAAAACCTTTGCCCAATGGGTGCTGTCTCTTGTGTCCTTACCTCTAGCAAACTGCTGAATAGGATGTATCCATGTTTGGCTGCAACAATCTTAAGGCTTTCCTACAAAAAGAGGAATTTAGTAATTTATCTGATAAATATGTTACATAGGTTTTTAAAAAAGCAGATATTAGCTTGCTTTTCCCTGTAAGTCACTTTTTGTTACAAAATCAGTGCCACTGTAAAAGCCCTGCGCAGAAAACCTTCTTATAGTGTTCTTAGTATAACTGTAACTCCAGGATGAATTTTAAATATAACATTTAACTTATTCAGCAGTGTCAAACAATGTTTCTATAAGGTCTTTTCTGTATCACTGTGATTTTTTTTTGTGACTTACATGATTTACATATCTAACAGTAAGTGTGGAAAAGCCCCTGTGTTGAGAATGGCAATGAGCTGCACATACCTTTTTAAGGGGGAAATCCTGCATATGTGATGGCACCAGAATTTGGTTTATAACATGGATCACACCATTTGTGCCCACGGCATCACTGAGTATAATTTCAGCTTTGTTGTTCAAAACCAGCGAGTTCTGGAAAGGCAATAAAAACACGTTTTCTGTGGAACCTTGTGGGAGGGTGAGGCTGATGCCAAATTTCTTTGGTATAATGAACCCAGACCATCCTTTCTCCGCAGCAAACCGTAGCTTCAGTTTTAATAAATTGCCCTTTGGTTTTTCAGACTCTCATCATGCTCATAAAGCCAGAGTCTGAGCCTTAAATAACTTGTGTCAAAGCAAGGGCTGTACAACTCCACTCTGAACAGCAGGTAAGTGCTGAACACTTCAGCTAAATGGGCAACCTTCCTTTAATGCTATTTATTTTTGGGCACTGAGGAGTAAAGGGAACCATTAAGGTTTTAAAAAAAGCTGAATGAGAACAGACTGTTTTATTGTTTTGTCCTTTGCCTTTTCATGCTCTGTTACCTGAGAGGAGCTGATGTGTATCGGGTCCCCTTGGAGAGAGGTGATGTTGGTGATTGTTGTCAGGTCGCTGTACAGCAGACTGGCACAGCTCACCATATGGTACCGGAGGACTTGAGCCATCATTCCTTTGGCAATCCAGTCCTTGACCTACAGCAGAAAGCGGAGGAGTTGAGAAGCAGTTGAGCAAGGTGTCTGAATCCAAAAGCTCATGGCCAGCTCACCAAAAGCTTATGGCCACCTTACTTACTCGTGGGTCGTTGTTTAGTACGTCTGTGTGAGGTACGAACAGAGTGAAAGGGCCAGGGCCTGCAATATCTCTGATAGACAAGGCCTGCCAAATTTAAGAGGACAAAGCAGTAATGAGTCATTAATGTGCATAACATCATGCAGCGATGGGGACAGCCCTGCTCACTGGGAAGTGGTGCCCACAGCCCTGTTGCTGTTGCAGGCTGGGTTCACTTCCCTGCAATGCAAGGGTGAGAGAAACTCTTGTACACTGTGCACTCTCCTTCCCAGCCCTGTCATCACTGCCCATGGGTATCAAATGGAAGATTTTGGTTTATGGCCAAGTTGCCATTTTCCCTGCAATAATGAACAGGAGAAGAGGGAAAGCTCTCAACCATTACTAAGTGTAGGGAGGGTGGAGGAAGGCTACACCCTCCTGGGCAAGGGAAGATGAATAAACTCTTTCATCTTGACTTAGTCAAGAGTGGGTATATACATGTGTTTGTACATGCATTTAGCTGTTACGTGGTTGCTTCTACCCAGGAGTAGATGAATTACTGTTAGAGGGACAAATGGACCTGGGGTAATGCAGGCACTTTGCAATCACCACTGACAAACTAAAGAAGAGAGCTCTGCTAAAGTGATAGGAAGAAATCGGTTTACCATGGTTGCATAATTAAAGCTAAAATATGAGTCTTTGAGCCAGCAGACCAGTATACAGATTTGTGCTGCCATGAGGCTCAGGGTAAAGGATTACTACTGCCAGTCTCCAAAAAGCAGTGAGAACTGGCAGTACACATTGGCTGTCCACCAACACAGGAGCATCCTGTGGCGTTTCTGAGGAGCAACTGAAAACAGCATCGCAGTCTGGAAATGCAGCAAGGGTAGAAGAGGGATGGTATTTGCTCACATCACAGTTCATGAGAGATGTGCTGGAAGATCTCAGACTGTGAATGGGTGAAAGC